AGCCCTAAACAATTATGGAGAGTCTCTGGCAACATGGTGGCTTGGAGCCCCTTGCACACCTCCAGCCTTCCCCACGAAGTCCCACCCAAATGCACAGTATTTCAACAAGATGTCTAACAGATGCCACAGTTATGAGCTGGATTACAGGTTGTATAACCACTTGGCATTCCGAATCCAGAGACTAAATTTATGACCCAAGAGTCAGCCTGATCAAAGGCCTGTCGGTAGCCCTGTCCTCTCAGTACTTTCAAAAATGATTCACACACAGAAACAGAACACCCAGTTCCAAATGACACCAAAAAATGAGGAGACCAAGAACGCTGGGCAAAAGAATCTGAATTTTCTCGTTACATTGGAACAAGTCCAGAACCTCCAGTATGTAATTTAAAGAGAGATAAGTAATAGAGGATTTTAAATTGTTCACAAATGCTGAATGAGGGAGGCCTAGCTCCATAACAGCTGGGCGAAAAAGGTGTAGGAATTTCACTCTGAGGGAATGTGAATAGAGTAATGGGACTTTGGGGCTGCCAGGAAAGCTAATAGGACCTCATGCTGTGTGGAGGGCAGAACAACGCCTCCCAGAGGCATCCATGGGGACCTCCCAGTGGTCCAGTCTTAACCAACTTCACCTTCCAATGCAGAGGGTATGGGAAGCTAAGATTGGTCGGGAAGCTAAGATTCCACATGCCCCGGGGCCAAGAAACCAAAACATAAAACAGAAGCAGTACTGTAACAAATTCAGTAAAGACTTTTAAAATGGCCCACATCAAAAAAATCTTTTAAAAAGATTTTTTAAAAAAAAAGACATCCATGTCCCAATTCCTGGAAGCTATGAGGATGTCACGTCACATGGTAATAGAGCCTATGCAGGTGTGATTAGATTAAGGACCTTGAGACGGGAAGATTATCTTGGAGAATCCAGGTGAAGCCAACGTTCTCAAAGGTCCTGACAAGTGAAAGAGGAGGTGAAGGGTCAGAGTAAGAGGAGGAGATGGGACAGTGGAAGCAGAGGGGGCGGTGGTGCGGGACCAGAAGCCGAGGGGTGCAGGCCGCCTCTGGAAGCCGGAAAAGCCAAGGAAATGGATTCTCCTCTAGAGCCTCCAGGATAAACACAGCTGTGGGGACCCAACTTGGACTTTTGACTTCCGGAACGGTAGGAGAATAAACAAGCGCTGCTTTAAGCTGCGAAACAGGTGGTGATTATTACCGCAGCAACCAGGAACTAACGCAGACTGAATTCAAGGTGGCTTCAGTGTCCAACCAGCCAGGTTGTACCAAGGTTGTGTGACGCACTCATTAGAGCATGTCTGAAATGTTAAATTCCCTTCTGGTTTGGGTTTTAGGAAGGCTGTTGACAAGTTCAGGTACAATTGAGCCTTGAACAATGTGGGGATTAGGAGCGCCAACCCTACATGCAGCTGGCCCTCTGTGTTTGTAATTTCGCATCCACAAATTCAACCAAACTGCAGATCATGTAGCATCACGGTATGTACTTAGTGGGACAATCCCATCTATAAGTGGGCCCCATGTAGTTCAAAGCTATGTTGTTGAAGGGCCAGTTGTAGCTACCAGATGTTGAAGAACTTTGAATTCCTAACAAATGATTAGGAGCTGAAACAATTGGGTATTTTCAGCCTGAATAATATTAAGACATAACAGTTGTCTTCAAATGTTTGAAGGGTTAACTTGTCAAAGATGAAGATGGCTGAAACTCCAGAGGGTGGAATTAAGAACAAGTAAGTTGAAGTTAACAGGCAATTCAGGTCATTCTAACAAAGACATTTACAACAATCAGAGCTGCAAACAAAGTATATACTGTGCCTTATTAAGTGATAAGCATCAAACATTCAACCAGGGGTTGAGTGGTCATGACTCAGTGATATTACAAAGGATTCCTGCACAGGGTCAAGGCTGCTCAAGAAGACTGCTGTGAGCACCTTTAAGATTTGAAGACTTGGCCTTCCCTGGTGGTTCAGTGGTAAAGAATCTGCCTTCCAGTTCAGGAGACACGGGTTCGATCCTTGATCCGGGAAGATCTCACTTGCCACAGAGTAACAAGTTATGTGTCTGTGCACCACAGCTATTGAGTCTGTACTTAGAGTCCGAGACCCACAGCTAATAAGCCCATGCACCATGACTGCTGAAGCCTTTGTACCCTAGAGCCCATGCTCTGCAACAAGAGAAGCCCGTGCACCGCAACTAGAGTAAGCCCCCCTGCTCACCACCAACTACAGGAAAGCCCACGCAGCAGTGAAGACCCACCACAGCCAAAAATAAATAGAAGTATTTAAAGAAAAAAAAAAAAAGATTTGAAGACTTGATGGCATCCTTTCACAGAAGTCCAGATTCTTTCTTGTGTTAAAATTTGTAATTAAATCTCACAGGGAAATAAAAAGCAGTAGCAGAAGTTCTCGCTTCTATCGCTTGTGTAACTAACCCTCAATAATGTTCTTAAATTTCCTTGAGAGCCGTCATCTTGATGAGTAAGTAAAGTACTAAGGTCGGTATCTCACAGTTGGTGGCCTTGAAAGACGGCCAGGGCACAGGAGTGGAAACCTGGGGTGGACTGGAAGGAACCTGCAGACCCCACCCCTACCCTCAGGCTGCGCTGGGCTGAGGGGCTCGGTTCTGCCCTAAGAGTAGCCACGCCTCAGCTTGGTTCTCAACACCAAACTAAACAGCATCTCCTATGAGTCAGGAGGCAGAGCAGGTGCAATGAGATGATGGGAGAAAACGGTGGCTCCCGTAGTGATGGGGTTGCTAGGAGACGACGGAGTAGAGCAGCAGCCCCTTCTGCTGACCTGCGTCCACGGTCGTGTCTTCTACCCGGCCCGAGTTTCTCTGTTCGGAAGGCAGTGATCCAGCAGAGGCTCACTTGTTCTTTCCCTGCCCCTCCAAGCTGTTTTCTCTGGAAGGCTTGAATAATGTCACCGCTGCTGTCTATTTGCAAAAAAAAAGAGCTAAGTGCCAAATAAAGCAGTCCCCTGTGGTTACCCTCCCTCCTGCCCCGTCCCGTCTCGAGGCCTCTGGTGGCACTTGGGCCTTGGGCTCAGGCATTGGCCCTCCTGCGGGCCCCGGGCACCGCCTGCCAGCTCCAGCCTGTTGGAAGGAAGGCAGCATGCCTGTCAGTGATTAAAATGTTCTCAGCCAGCGTGTCTGGACAAGCATCCACGTATCTCACAGCCAGAAATGATTGTGGCCATAGTTACGTTTAGACATAATATTGACCTGCTTGATAACATTGTTCCTAAGCTTCTGCCTCCCACTCCGCCTCTCCTTTCCTCCCGTTCCATGGCTTGTGTGTGTTTTAATAGAGTTTTTTAAAACAAGAGAAAAAGAAACCACTCCCAAAGACTGGGTGCCTGTGCTTTCAGAAGTAGATTAGTTTCCTTTCCCGCACTGCTATCTTTTTTCTTTTTTTAAACTTTTTACTTTATTCTGGAGTATAGTCTATTAACGGCACTGTCGTAGTGTCAGGTGGAGAGCAAAGGGATTCAGCCATGCCCAGACATGTATCCCTTCTCCCCCCAGGGCTTCCCAGGTGGCCTTAGTGGTAAAGAAGCCACCCGCCAGTGCAGGAGACTTAAGAGACTCAGGTTCGATCCCTGGGTCAGGAAGATCCCCTGGAGAAGGGAATGGCAACCCACTCCAGTATTCTTGCCTGGTGAATCCCATAGAGAGGAGCCTGGTGGGTTACAGTCCATGGGGTTGCAAAGAGTTGGACACGAATGAGCATGCACATTCTCCCCCAAACACCCCTCCCATTCAGGCTGCAACATAACACTAAGCAGAGTTCCCTGTGCTATACAGTTGGTCCTTGTTGGTTATCTGTTTTAAACATAGCAGTGTGTACATGTCCATCCCAAACTCCCTAACTATCCCTGCACCCCATTCTTCCCCCCCAGCAACTGTAAGTTCATTCTCTTAAGTCTGTGAGTCTATTTTATAAATAAGTTCATTTGTGTCATTTCTTTTTTAGATTTCCTCCCATAACAGATGTCCTTTGATATTTCTCCTTCTCGGTCTGACTTAACTTCACTCAGTATGCCACTCTCTAGGTCCATCCACATTGCTGCAGATGGCATTACTTCATTCTTTTTATGGCTGAGTAATGCTCCGTTGCATACATGTACCACATCTCCTTTATCCGTTCCCTGTCGATGGACGTTGAGGTTGCTTCCATGTCTCGGCTGTTGTAAACAGCGCTGCAGCGAACACTGGGGCCTGCACCACTGCCTTGCAGGAGCCCGGGCCTGAGGTGGTTTTTCTCTCTCACTTTGCGATGGGGACACCGAGAGCTGGCAGGGGTCAGTGCATCCCCCGTCAGCCTCTCTCAAACCCTCACCCATCCATAAGTTAAAGCAGCATGCGTGCCCTCCAGGCGCCCGTTCCCTGGCTCTCCACCCCCGCTTCCACTGTGGCCCTCCTGGAGGGGGGAGCCCCCTGGAGGAGGCCCCCTCCTCCCCCTCCTGGAGTAGTTCTAGAGCTGCCACGGCAGGTGACCAGGAGCGTAGACCCGGGGTGAATAGGGCACAGCTGTGCCTCTGTCACCTCGCCGCATACACGTGTTCCATCCAGAGGTTATAACATGGGTTCTCAACAACACAGTCAAACTTTAAATATTCAAAGGCATTTTCCTACAAAAAGACAATAGTCTTGGTGAATCCTTTCACACACTAGTTTTCTCATCTGCACAATGGGAATAAAAATGATTCCCAAATCACTGGGTAACTACGGGGATGGTAGGACTTAATTCATGGGAAGTGTCCCACCTACCCCTTATTACTGTTGCTTGCTAAGTCACTCAGTCGTGTCCAACTCTTTGCGACCCTATGGACTGTAGCCCACCAGGCTCCTCTGTCCATGGGATTCTCCTGTCATGACTACTGGAGTGGGTTGCTATTCCCTCCTCCAGGGGATCTTCCCAACACCGGGATCGAACCCCTGTCTCTTATGTCTCCTGCGTTGGCAGGCGGGTTCTTTACCACTGGTGCCCCTAGGAAGCCCAGTTATTACTCTTAGCTCCTATTATAATCACTGAAAGAATGAGTGAATGCAAATTGTCTCTACAAATAAAAAATTTACACCCAGATTTGAATATCAAAGTAACAGAGGTAAGAAATTCACCCTCCTCTATGTGGACATATTCAGTACCTTATGTTTGCATTTTTAAGTATGAAATACCTTTTTTTTTTTCTTTTAAGGACTACACTTTGTTATATGAAGAGGCAAAATATTTTCAGCTTCAGCCCATGCTGTTGGAGATGGAAAGATGGAAGCAGGACAGAGAAAGTGGTCGCTTTTCAAGGCCCTGCGAGTGCCTCGTGGTGCGTGTGGCCCCAGACCTCGGAGAGAGGATCACGCTCAGCGGAGACAAATCCTTGATAGAAGAAGTGTTCCCAGAGATCGGCGACGTGATGTGCAACTCCGTCAACGCGGGCTGGAATCACGACTCGACGCACGTCATCAGGTTCCCACTGAATGGCTACTGTCACCTCAACTCAGTCCAGGTACAGCGTCGTCACACGCTGGGGGCTGCCAGTGTCCCTGTTAGGGACGAGGTGTCCTCACCCTTGTCCTCATGGGTGCCTTCCCTCCAAGGTGCTGGAGAGCCCTCACGTGGTAACATACCTGCTGGGCGGGTAAAAGCCCTTCACCCCTCTACAGCAGGGGTCCCCAACCTCCAGGATCTAACGCCTGATGATCTGAGGCGGAGCAGGTGTAATAATAGTAGAAATAAAGTGCCCAGTAAACGTAATGCACTTGAATCCTCCCGAAACCATCGGCTCCCCCGGTGTGGGGGAAAACTCTCTCCCGCAAAAGCAGTCCCTGGTGCCGAAAAGGTTGGGGACCGCTGCCCTACGGCATTCAATCTGTCATTCCACAAACATTTACTGAGCGCCTGCTATGTGCCGGGGGCTGGAGTGAGCACTGGAGATACAGAAGGAAGAAAACAGACCACAGCGGGCTTTCCATGGAGCTTACATTACGAGAATGGAGTGGGGTGGCCGGGCAAACAGTCACCCACCTAAGTGTTGAGCAGGTAGTGAGAAGAGGATGCCTGGGGTTGAGTGTCCTGGAGGGGTTGGGGGGAATCTAGTCCTGAGGCTTCCCAGGGAGGAGCACTTGCTTGATGTATTGAGGAACATCGGGAAAGCCAGTGAGGCTTGAAGGCAGTGAAGGTGGGTGGGGAGTGCCGAGACCCCCCAGTACAGACGGTGGAGGGCCTCACAGAAGGTGGGAAGCGCTCTGGGATTCTTCGTGTTGGTTTCTTTGGGGCTTGATTCCCTCGCGTGTGTGAGTCAAATGGAAAGCCATTTGAGGATTTGAGCAGGTCGACATGTTATAACTTGTATTTGAAGGTGAACACTCCAGCAGCAGGTAGAAACCAGGGTGAACAATAGGACCAGTTAGAAAGTGGATCCGAGCAATAACCGAGCAGTGTCCGACTCTGAATATCTTTTTTTTTTCTTTAGCTGTGCCATGCAGGTGTTCCAATGCCCATTCTCAAACTAGTCCACTCTTTAACAAAATCAAGCAGGCACACACTTGTCATACCACGTACATGTTCACGAATGCCATTATGGCTTGATGAACAGAGTACTGAATGACGTCTTAAAATTGTTGTGTGGGGGGGGGCTTTCCTGATGGTCCAGCATTTAGGAATTTGCTTTGCAATGTGGGGGACTCAGGTTCGATCTCTGGTCAGGAAACTAAGATCCCACATGTGGCAGGGCAACTAAGACGAGATGCAGCCAAATCAATGAATAAATATTTTTAAAAAAATTGTCTCATGGCCTTGAACAAATTTCAGCTTCTGTTTTCATTTTTATTTTTAAAATGTTTTTGGCCTCGCTGTAGGCTTGTGGGATCTGTGTCCCGACCTGGGACTGAACCCCTGCCCCCATTCAATGTAAGCTCAGAGTCTTAACCACTGGACTGACAGGGAATTCCCAAAATAGTTTTTGTTTATTTGTTTTGTTTTGGCCTTGCCCCACGGCTTAGGGGGATCTTAGTTTCCTGACTAGGACTTGAACCCAAGCCCTCAGCACTGAGAGAGCGCAGTCCTAAGCACTGGACTGCCCTGAATGTCTTGAACGTACAGCTGGCCAGGTTTTCTGATAATGGCTTCGAGCTACAGGATAGAAGCCAAGGATGACTAAGATTTTTGATGGAGAAACGGGATGAATGGAATTAGCATCTTTTGAGGTAGAGATGTTTATGGGAGAAGAAGACTTAAGGGCAGAATTCAGAAGCTGGGCTTACACGATGTGAGGGACCACGTGCCTTAGACGCTGGTGGGTGTGATCACCATCGTAACTGATGTGTGCCAGCCGTGGGCCAAAGCTTGTCTGTGTGACTCAGTGGAAATCCATGGAGTGATTTCATTAGAATGGACCCATGACTTTATTCAGTATTGAGCCAACAAACCCCCCCCAGACTCCAAGACTAGAAGCACCCACTCTACCATTCTGCCTCTTGAGGATGGTTTCCCAGCTGTTTGTAATTGTTGAATTTTGTGAATAGATGGCTGAGAGCAGGGCAGCAGGAAACTAGCTGACACTGAGCCCGGGTGTGCTGGAGGAAGACACGCCCCCCAGAGGGGCAGCCCTGGGCTGCACAGGTGCAGAGGCACACCTGAGCCGCCCTCTGCAGCTCCGAGCGGGGCCTCAGAGCCCGGAAATCTCCCCCACCCACGCCCTGCCCCCGGCTGTCTCCGGGCAGCGTTTCATCACTTCTCTAGGGCCCCGCCCCTGAATAACTATCAGACATTCACAAGCCTGCCATGTTGCCCTGTCATTCGAGTCTGATCAGAGGTGGGTTTTCATCTGGGATAACATCATCATACGACATGACCATACTAGCTCCTGCCCCGTCTAGAGGACAGGCCCGGTCCGCTAGGTGTTCAGAGGCTTTGGGCTAAGGCACAGGAGCAGTGTATCTACTGGAGTGATTTCAGTATTCCCAAATGATCACTGACTTTAAGGAACTTTGCTATTAACAAGTTGATACTTGAAGAATGGCCAAGAAGCATAAACTGTCTGCATGACATGGGAATAAGTTTTACCACCTTCAAGGTAACCTTGGATCGATCATACTGAATAATTATCATATTATGCATATTAGATCCTCTGGGGAGGCAGCTTAGGGATGTGCTTATAAGAGCAAGTCAACAACCTAACAACACTGAGAGACAAATGATATCAGAGTTAAGTTCTTTATTGCGCAGCTTCCTCTACTTTCGTAATTCCTCTCCTTATCAAGGTGAATCCTCTCCAGGGCGGTGGTTTGGCCGAGCAAACTAGTGTGTTTCTTGCTGACAAACTACATTCCTGCCTTTACTGGGGAGATCTTAGAGTGAGCTGTTCCTCACCTTTTTATTCACCTGCCACCAAAACACATCTTAATGTGCTTACTTTTCAACTTAGAGATTGTTTTCTTTTCTTTCTTTCTTTTTTTTTAGAGATTGTTTTCTTTACTGTGCCCTTTGGCTGCCTGATGTGCATATGCATTGTAGATTTATGTACAGAAGTAGATGATGCAGAGAAGTGTTCATTTTGTTCTCATAAGGACTTGCTTGGGTTTTTTTAAATTTGCCAGCATTTGAAGTTTTAATTTTTAGAAAGTATATTCTTACTTTCCAATCTCATCTAATTAGCTGTTTTGCAAAACAGCAGATTATATTCCATGTAAAAGTAGGCACCCCAAAAATAATAGTTTAAAAAAAAAAGACATAGTAAGGGATCCACTGTATATCACATTTTGTAAGTTATTTGATAGTATTTCACTTAACTCCAAAAATTAAAAAAAAAAAAAAATTGAGCCAGGCATTTTTAAAAGTTATGATTGAACCATCTTGCTTTTAGAGTAGTGTAGAAATAATTTAACTATATCCAGAATTCTGGCAGGGAACATTTGCAAGTCTAATACTTGTTGGATTCCTAAAGAAACATACTGCGGTAGATCAGTTTCCTGTATTTTTGTGTATGTAAGAGTTGCAAAAACTCTTCCCTGCATTCAAGAGTGTCAGGCAAGTAATGACCAGGGACCTTTCTGGCGTTAGGTATTTGGTTTCAAAAATAGATTACATTATAAATATCTATTAATTATATGAGAAATTTTTAGATATTTTCTAATATAGGGCATATATAAATAACCATTGCATTTATTCTTGCCTCTCTGGATGCACAGTAGGCAATAAATTTCAAATGCCACAACTTGAAAAGCTGTAAATAAACCTTGACTGTCTTTTAATAGTCCATTTCTTCTGCTGTTGAAATTGCATCAGTCTTCCAGGCTGAAATATATTAGCTCAGTATCAGGCAATCAGAACAGTGGCTGAATCAAGAGTGAATGAGTTGAGGCTGAATCACCGATGAAGTAAATTTAGATAATATCACTGTCTCTCCATAGTCTTTATCATCTCATCAATTATGTTAGTGGTAAATGAGCTTTGAAATGTGAACCCTCTCTTTCTGCAGACAAATGGCATTACAAAAAACATGAGATTTGAGGCCAACTGAGTTGGAAACCCAGTTCCATCACTTACTAGGTGTAAGCCTCAGTTTTCTCATCTGTCAAGTGGACCAACTCCACCCGTTATGCCAGCTGGTTGTAATGAGTGAATAACCTGGCACATGTGGAGCTAGCTTATGAAGGCACATTGTAGGTATTAGAAACATTTGCTCGCTCCCTCCTGCCTTTGAATCCAGAGTCTTCGAAAACAGAATCTCAGAGAGACTTAGGGCTTGGATAAGATGGATTCAAGCTGCACATGATGTCAAACTGTGGGACAGTCTTTGGGCTGTTTACGTGGCCAAAGGACCTAGCTGGCCTCTAACCAGATGCTTGTCTCGGCCCCTCACAGGTCCTCGAGAGGTTGCAGCAAAGAGGATTTGAAGTCGTGGGCTCCTGTGGGGGAGGCGTGGACTCATTTAGGTTCAGCGAATACGTCCTGCGGCGGGAACTGAGGCGGACGCCCCGTGGACCCTCTGTCATCCGGATAAAGCAAGAGCCTCTGGACTAGATGGACATATTTCTTCTGCCAAAAGGAGAAAAGCATACACCACAAATAACGCAAACACAAAAAGGGACATTTATGTGCAGTTGGGACAGCAAACCGAGTCCTGGACCTAAAGTTGAATAAAAGACACATTTATATCCAATAGAGACCACACCTGTATTCGTATGGGAACAATTGGAATAGTGATATCCTCAAGGTGTAAAAAATATATAAATATATATATATATATATGTCAAAAGGTAGGAAACGCAAAAAAAAAGAAAAAAGGTGGTAGCTACAGTTGGTGCTGTGATGGCCGTGAAGTGTCCTGGGCCTCCCAAGGCCTCTGACCAATAAACAAGCCATGAGCAATGAGGATGAATCTCCTTACGGTTTCCATTGCCAACAGCCATCCATTGTTTCTTTTTCCTTTGTCTTTCTTTTTCCTTTGAAAAGAAAAACACCTAGAATCGCATTTCTTTGCATATGGAAGTTTCATGTCTCTCTTTAGATGGGGGACCGAGCAGAACTTCAAAAAAAAACAAAAAACTCTCATGAGCACACCGCATTTGAAAGACGCGAGACATGAAATTTTAAATGTAGTTTGTACAGAAGTCACACTTTTTTGTCCGCCTCACCGATGTGAACATTACTTTGTTTTTAAACTGATCAGTTTTGCAAAGGGGCCAGAATTATTCCTTGTTAGAGTTGCTCCAGTTTGAGTCTGCTGCTTTCCTACAATTTTTCAAATTTTATAATGTATTAAATACAATAAACTCTGTTTAAAAAATAAGGTCTGTGTGAGACACACGTGTTGGGGTGAGGCTGTAGTCAAATGAAATTTTTCTATTTTAAAATTTTCTGTGTGGAGTGTCAAAAAGAGACCTAAAAACTGAAGCCAGTGTCGAGATCAAAGCCCATTCAAGAATAAGGATGTTGACACTTGTTCTGAATGGTTCTGTTCCCATTAGTAAGGTTTGGGTCCCGTGCTTCTGCATTGGTGAGCAAGATGAACCTTTCTTGTGAGTTTACCCATTCCAGTCAACTCCCAGAGCAAATCGTGCCGAAACGTAGCAGCCGACAGCACCGTTTTATTCTCTTTCCGGATCCTGGGATCCTCTTGTGTGGACTGGCCTGGCCTGGCCCAGCTTCTTGGGCATCACATGATGTCATCTGGGGCATGGATAACCATGATGGGCCCCCTTGAGGCTGCCAATCCCTGCTGGCTGGCCATGGGCCTCCCCAAGTGGCTTGGGCCCCAGCCAGCCTGGGAGCTGGGTTCTAAGAGGAAGGAAGGAAGCCATGGTCCCCTGGAAGGCCAGGCCTGCAGCTGGTCGATGCACTTCTGCAGGAATGTGTTAATTTAGCAGATTGAGAGCCAGCCTCAATTCAAGGAAAGGAGGGAAATGAAACCCAACCCTTGGTCACTGGGGAAATGACCAAGAATTTGTAGCCAACTTGAATCTACTGTAACACCTGTCCAAAAATGTCAACAAAGTAGGGCATTAATGGCTTTGGAAGAAGTAGGGAAAATCTCAGGGTCAGAATGATCAGTTTCTTATCAGCCAGGGAGGTGAGAAACCCGAGATGTCAATACCACTTCAGAATTGAGCCCTCAGCTTTTCCAACGTAGTAGTGATTCTGGACGCTCCTCTGTCAGCCCTGCCATCACCTTTCTTCCCCACTTCCTCCTCCTCATTCCAGACCCTCAAAAATAAACCTGGTATGACGGACGATAAGATTGACAGGTAAACTATAATGTGTTTCTGCTGCAGAGATGTTCCTGTGGTGATGGGCTATTTCCATCCTGAACTTTCCTTCTTTTTTAAATTAAAAAGTCTATGCCTGAGGACAGTAGTAATGAAAATATCTGTAGCTTCTGAAACTAAAAGTAAGCTGTTAATGGCTCCAATCTCTAACCCCCCACCCCGCCCCAAAACACAGAGGCGGCCCAAACATGGAATTACTCTAATGACTGCCAGCCAGGCTTTCACATGGTGGTTTCATTTCTCCTTATTTGAGACTAATACACCACTGTCTCAGATGGACACAGCCAGGGTTGCTCCCACTGGCTGCTTGGTCATCCACGTCTGCTGAAAGGAGAATGAAATTGCTCTATGATTTTTACTGGTAATCCACTCTCCGTGGGTAAAATTTCCTAAAAGCAATAAAGCAAAGGCTCCGCTTTGGGACTTTCTGCTGGTTATTGTCATCACTTAACATTTACCCAGCACTCTCTCCGGGCAGTTAGTATTGTCCCAACCAAACCCTGCACGCAATTCTGTGCCCTTTGTTCTTTTCTGAGCTCTTAGGCCCATTTATACAACTCCAACCCAATTGCACATTTTTTTCCTACAGAAACTGTGATCCATTTCAACAGAGCAAACACATGTTATGTTCACAATTTTAGGTCTTAACAGTGAAATAGATTCCTGGATACCAAAGTACTTCAGCAAAGAGCTGGTCAATCAAAATGTAATGGAGTTACAACCTTATTTTTTTCTGCGGCATTTAATTATACAGTATATATGGTTATCCATATTTCACCTGTTGTCCCAATAAGGATCTTTATGGTGGTGGTGTTTAGTCACTCAGTCGTGCCTGACTCTTTCACAACGCCTTGGACTGTAGCCCGCCAGGCTCCTCTGTCCATGGGATTTCTCAGGCAAGAATACTGCATGAGCAGCCATTCCCTTTTCCAGGGGATCTTCCCAACCTAGGAATCTGCATCTCCTGCATTAGCAGGCGGATTCTTCCCACTGAGCCACCGGGGGATAGCAAGGGTCTTTATAGCTATGTTGTTTTCCCCGTAGAGGGTAAGATCAAGGCTTGGTACTGCTTTGATTATTAATGTCTTGGAGACTCTAATTTAGAAAGGTTTCCCCATCTTTTCTTTCTTTTCCTGTGTACCATGAGCTTGGTTTTGAAGAGTGTAAGTTGCTCTGGAGTTGGTGGCATAATCTGGATTTGTCTGCTTGATTCCTCACAGGTAGAGTCAGATTAATTTTTTTGCAAGAAATTACTTCCTCAATACATCACATCACAAGGGTCTGTCTGGCCCATGATGGTGATGATCATTTTATTTCTATTTTTTGTTTTTATTTTTTGCTATTATAGATCTTATTGCATGTCAGTTGTGGTTTTCCTTTGTTGATGGTAATTCTGAACACTCAACTGAGGTCATAGTCTCCAAATTTCTCCAATGGAACAGCGTCTCTTCCCTGTGAAATTAACAAGTAGTCTATGGGATGAAATTGTGAGACTGGAAATGCCCTGTACTTCATTTACACTTTCACATAATGATTTTAACATTCATTGGTAATCTTTTCCTGGATCAGTCATTACCTTGGTGATTATAAAAGTGTACTTCTTAAAAAGCTGCTAGCCAAGCAAAGAGTCCAAAGATGTACGAGAAAATAAGACATCACTTTGAGTGTCAGGGTGACAAACTCAGATGCCTACAAGGGCCAAGTGAGTCACAGAAATCAGGAGGCAGTCACCCGCATGCATGACCGGTTCAAAGGGGTAGCCCCTCCTCCACTCCAGCAGGTGTTCCAGCAGAACAAGAAGCCTGTCTCCTTATACCTCTCATTTCCCTGGAAAAACCTGGAAATCTAGATTTTTATGTGAAATCTCTAAATGTATATGTTAGAACGAACTGATTTTTTTCCCCCAAAATGTACAGACCATGCAAGACATCTATGCAGTTTGTCACTCTGAATACTATGAAAATAATGAAATGGTTTGAGATATTCTAGAAAAATTCCACTTAGGTTATATCATAAGTGGTGGCACCAGAACTAAATTGTGTGAGAACATGACTTTTATAAAATCTGGAAGTTTAAGACAAGCTTTTAGTCACAATATCATTTGATCATAAAGATTTAAATCCTGGTGTGTAAATGACAATTGTAATTAAATCTACCTCCATTCCAGCCTACTATATGCCAGGCACTGTGCTCAGGGTTTTATAGATGTTCTTCAGTCCTTAGAGAAACTCAGTGAAGTTGGCATTATTATCCCAGTTTTACAGATAAGAACATTGGTATATTAAAAAAAATATATGCCAAATGCCACAAGACACTTGGAAGAACACACACACACACACACACACATTTGATGAGTACCTTAGACTCAACTCTTACTGGTTTTCTAGTTTATGCCAAAAAATTATTTTGGGGGCTACCCTGGTGGTTCAGTGGTTAAGAATCTGCCTGCAATGCAGGGGTCATGGGTTCGATCCCTGGTCCAGGGACTAAGATCCCACATGCCTTGGGGCAACTAAGCCCATGTGCTACAACTACAGAGGCCCATACACCCTAGAGCCCATGCTCTGCAATGAGAGGCCACTGTAATGAGAAGCCAGGGTCCCCCAACTGGAGAGTAGCCCCCGCTCACCACAGTTAGAGAAAGCCTGTGCGCGCAGCAACAAAGAGCCTGTGTGTCACAACAAGGAGCCAGTGACAATTAACTGACTAAGTAATTCAATGAATTAATTAATAAACCTTTGCTCTGTCATTGGCAACTTCAGTAAGTTCATTATAAAGGCACTACACAAAAATATGGCTGCAGTAACACTGTGCGTGTCGTTGAGTTGTGTCTGACTCTTCGGGAACCCATGGGCTATAACCTGCCAGGCTCCTCTGTCCATGGAATTCTCCAGGCAAGAATACTGGAGTGGGTTGCTTTGCCCTCATCCACGGGATCTTCCCAACCCAGGGGTGAAACCCACATCTCTTGCGTTTCCTGCATTGCAGGCAGATTGATTCTTTACCACTGAACCACTGGGGAAGCCCTATTTACTGGCTATAGGGTAGAAATTACTAAGCCCCGAGAAGATGTAACCATCTGGCTTTGTAACGATTAGGGAACACTTCTCAGAAGTTTACGTTGATTCCGGGTACCCCAAACTTGCCCATTCTTAAGACACAAAAAAGGCACTTATTAAAGCTACTGTATCCAGCCCCCCACCCACCCCCAGCAGTCCCCGACTCCCCTTTATCCTCACCAATGTCCTGAATCTCAGTCTCTAAGTGATGAGCCCGGGAATCTGTATTTTAACAATGCCCATCACAGGCGACTCTCCAGTCAGCAAGTTTGGAAAATACTGGGTGAAATCACTGTCTCTCAACCTAGACTGAAAATAGTGGATGAGAACCTTCTGGGGGTACTTTTTGACTTGCCTTTTTACGGCTTCATTGATGTTGATTAAACAATAGTTGGCTTCTCTTGTTTGCTTGAAGGGCCAGATTGAATACTCCCAGTAGAGTTACTGGGGGTGGTGAATTACTTAACTGAAATTTAACCAGAGGGCCCTCATCCTTTCCTAATTTGAGAGAGAACTGCCCGATCCTGTGGAATTAGTCTACCAGCTACGGAATCCTTTCACTGCCTCTTAACAAGTTATCAGACACTGGAATGAACCTTACAGCAGAGAATTACTGTAGCATCTGCCACCTGTAACAGTAGCGGATGACAGGTGTACCGGAATCCAACATTTCCCATCTATTCTAATTTGCGTGAGTTTCTTTGAAATGTAAATGAAGCTTTGACCTTCAGAATCTGAAGAAGTATATAAATCTATAACTCGAACCATTTTAACACAAAACTCCTTGGCATATGCTTTAAAAATGCCAGATTCAGAGAGCTCTGTCTGACTCTGTTTCACATGACTTCAGGTTCGTTCTGTCTCTCCCTATCCGCTTCCCGTTCCCCTTTCTCCCTCACTCTCAGTGTGAAGCAGAGTGTTTCACTCCTCCCCGTCTGTCAATCAGATCCTGCTTGGCAGAATTAGGAACAGACAGTACAGGTATTAAATTATACTGTGGCTAAAAGGACTAGGCCTCCCAGGTG